AAATTTTTCAAAGAAAATATGATGAAAAAATGTATTAAAAAAATTTTATATTTAAATTTATATATTTCCCTAAAAAATAGAATCATTAAAAATATATGTAAAATATTTATACAAGTATATATTATATTTAAATCGTATACTAGAATTCATAGCTGCCAAGATATTTGAATTTTAAGTAACTGTATATTAAAACATTAGAAACGTTTTCCCACAATCGAGAATGCCGCTGTATAAGAAAATTGCCTGATGTTGTTACTTTGCATATGCAATTACTTAGCGTTACGTCGTCCATATGGCATCAAAGTCATTCCACTCGGCTCTACTTAGAGCCTTTTCTCAAGCCTGCGCCTTATCTGCGGCCCACAGCTGACGCTGCGCCTGCCCAGAGCAGCATGGGTGAAAATTCACCCGCCCAATATCCCACGCTTCCGGCCGCACATATTGCGAGCATAAGGAACTTGACGTGGGAATCTTTGATAGAGTCAGGAGTTGCAGTAGGAGTCGCAGTTGCCCTCCTTTGAGGGGCATATTGCACACGCTGAAAAATTAACTTTTGACCCGAAACATAGACGCGACCCGCAATTATGCAGTCTGACGAGAAGCACGTATATATGAATACATCAAGAGTCACCCTTAGTCACCTATGGGGTGGGAGGAGGAGGAGTAGGAGTAGGAGGTAGCGTGGGCTAGGGGGTGGGCTGCCTTGAGAGGCAACACCTGTGCCACACCAGTTTCAGTGTGTTTTGGTATAAGGTGCTATATGACTTTCGTATCAAAATCAGTCCAACGGAACCGAAGCTGACCGCGCTCACCGACCGAGTCCTTGTCAACCCCCTCTCCGGCGCTCGGCGTCCTCCCTGTGGATGTGTTTCTATGTTTGCATGCATAATCTTTCGACATTGTCATCCCTTAGGCTGCATTCTTGGCCACTTGGCCAGGGCAGAGGGCAGAGCGCAGCGGGTTAAGGGGCTGCTGCTGTTGCTACTGCTGCTCACCTGTGTCACCTGGTGGTTGTCTAAGTTCACGACGCGTCCAAGTCGCCGGACTTCTGGCCCGGCCAAGTGCCCGTCCGCTCTGATAGTCATTTCCCCTCGGAATTGTCATTCTTACCTCTCTCTCTCTCTCTCTCTCTTACTTACTCTTTCTCTGTGCTTGTCTGTCTCTCTCTTGCCTTGTGTGTGTGGGCAGAGGGTGCTTTACTTTCATTTTGGTAACAATTATCTATTCAACGTCAAGCTCTATGCCCTCTATGAGCTATATGAGTGCACACACGATTTGGTCGCTGCTACCAATTTTGTGTTAAGTGTTTGCGTGTTTGTCCTGGTGTAGGTGTGCGTGTGTGTGTGTGTGTGAGTGAGTACTGGTCATATGTCAGTGCGTCCTGGCTAGTCCTTCCGCAGATTGTTAGCAAGCAAATAAAACATTAGCTCGGCGGCACATTGCGCCCACTGCGACACACTTGTTCCTCAAACGCGAAACCGAACGGTTGTGTCAAGTGCTCCCTCGATTGTTAACCCACATAAGCATATACGTATATATATAAGTACAAAAACTCATCATCGGAAATCGTCCATCGACAAGTGAAGAAGTTCCTAACTTAAGTGTGAGTGCTGTGAGGAAACCCAGAAGTGGAAATAATTAGAAATCAAAGCTAACAAAA